TGTTTAAGTACCATACAAACCCAAGTTAGGGTATGTCTGCACTGCATCTAAGAGGTTTGATTCCCAACCAATGTAGATAGACTTGCACTAGCTCCGCTTGAGCTAGTGTGCTACAAATAGTAGTGAGGACTTTGGAGCACAGGTAGTGGTTCAGTCTAGCCACAGGAGCTTAGACAGGCTTGGACTTGGGCAAATAGCACAAGCTGCACCCATGCCACAATTTCCACAGTGCTATCTTTAGTAACCTAGCTTGAACAGAGCTAATGCAAGTCTGTCTACCTGTGCTGGGCATCACCCTTCCCAGCTGCAGTTTAGAAATACTCCTAGAGACATGGGAGGTCCGTGACCCCCACCCCCCATTCAGGGAGGCTACCCCCCCAGCCCCATCCCTTACTCCCCTCCTCCCCTGATGGATATCCAAGCCCCCCACCATGGCTGGAGGAGCCCTGCCCCAGCCGCCCTGAGTCTCAGTCTACCGTCCACCCCAGGCCACCAGCCAACCCGCCCTGGTCCATCGTCCGGCCCAAGATCTGGCCCACCTGCCCTCCCAGGGCCACTGCAATTGGAGCCCATATAAGAACCCGCCATGGAACCAACATGAATAACTTATGCAGCTGCATGTTCATATCAATCCGGCCCAGTCAAGATTAAAAACCAAACTGAAAACAATTGACTCTATCTATATGGCAGAGAGAAAAGAAATAAGAGGATTTATTTAAAAAATACCACATACCTTGGGAATTCCTAGTTTAGATTAGAGCTCAAATGTTATCTGAATTTTGGAAATAATGACGCATTTTGGTGTTGCAGCTGATTGCTATAGATTGTTGTTCATGCTTTCATTCCTTTGTTTATTGCTTTTTGTTGCTGCATCAGATGATAACTACTGGTGGAGTGACATACCACGACCAGCCATGGCACAAAGAATGCTTTCTGTGTGCTGGATGTAAGAAGCAGCTGTCTGGGCAAAAGTTTATTTCCAAAGATGACCATCCATACTGCCTAGACTGCTTCAGAAAGCTTTATGCAAAGAAGTGTGCAGCCTGCAACAAACCCATTACTGGTGAGTCTAACCGTTTAAAGTAGACCAGCCACTAAAACGTTATCAGTGCTGTCTCAGGTCAGATGTCTATTAACGAACACAAAATATTCCACTTGTAATTAAATAATTACCCACTGATTACTGATTTTTTAGACAAAGGACATGCAGTAGATTTATTCTACAAGGATTTCAGTAAGGCATTCGATACAGTGCCACATGGGAAATTATTAGTTAAATTGGACAAGATGGGGATTAAACCAACTGAAAATTGGATAAGGAACAGGTTAAAGGGGAGACTACAGTGGGTCATACTGAAAGCTGAACTGTCAGGCTGGAGGGAGGAAACTAGTGGAGTTCCTCAGGGATCCGTCTAGGACCAATCTTATTTAACATTTTTATTAATGACCTTGGCACAAAAAGTGGGAGTGTGCTAATAAAATTTGTGGATGACGCAAAGTTGGGAGATATTGCCAATATTGAGGAGGACTGGAATATCATACAAGAAGATTTGGATGACCTTGAAAACTGAAGTAATAGAAATTGGATTATATTTAATAGTGCAAACTGCAAGGTCATGCACTTAAGGACTAACAACAAGAATTTTTGCTATAAGCTGGGGACTTATCAGTTGGAAGCGACAGAGGAGGAGAAAGACCTTGGTGTACTGGTTGATCACGGGATGACTGAGCCATCAGTGTGATGCGGACATGAAAAAAAACTAATGCGATCCTGGGATGCATCAGGCGAGATATTTCCAGTAGAGACAGGGAAGTGTTAGTACCATTAGACAAGGCACTGGTGAGATCTCATTTAGAATACTGTGTACAATTCTGATCTTCCATGTTTAAGAATGATAAATTCAAACTGATGCAGGAGCAGAAAAGGGCTACTAGGATAATCAGAGAAATGGAAAACCCACCGTATGAGAGGAGACACAAGGAGCTTGTCTTGTTTAGCCTAACCAAAAGAAGGCTGACTGGAGATATGATTGCTCTCTATACATATATCAGAGGGCTAAATACCAGGGAGGAAGAGGATTTATTTAAGTTAAGCACCAATGTTGACACAAGAACACCTGGACATAAACTGGCCATCAGCAAGTTTAGGCTTGAAATTAGATGAGGGTTTCTAACCACCAGAGGAGTGAAGTTCTGGAACAGCCTTCCAAGGGGAGTAGTGGGGGCAAAAAACCTAACCGGCCTCAAGACTGAGCTTGATAAGCTTATGGAGGGGATAGTAGGAGGAGACTGCCTACAATGATACATAGCTGATCTGAAACTGCTAGTAATAAATATCCCCAATGGTCAGTGATGGGTCACTACATTGAGAAGGTTTTGAGTTACCAGAGAGTTCTTTCCTAGGTGCCTGGCTGGTGGGTATTGCCGAAATGCTCAGGCAAGACCCTGAGATCTTTTTGCCTTCCTCTGTAGCATGGGCTACTGGTCACTTGCACATTTCAACTAGAGTAAATGGTGGATTTACGCAGACCATCCTTTCCTCCCTATCTAGTGGAGGAGTAAGAAAACTGATCATCTCTAAGAGTACATCTACACTGCTATTTTTAACCCTCCAGCTTGAGCCCCACAAGCCAAGTCAATTGACCTGAGCTCTGAGACTCAGTGCCACAAGTTGTTCTTTGCAGTGTAGACATACCGGTAGAGATTATCGTTTTTCTTACTCCTCTTCTAAATAGGGAGGAAAGGATGGTCTTGTGGTTAAAGCACTGGGGAGACAGGGGAGAGACATGGGAGATTTTGATTCTGGTTCTGACAGGCTTCCTGTGTGATATTGGGTAAGCCACTTCTTCTCTCTAGGCCTCAACTGCTCGTTTGCAAAATTAGGATAGTAATAACCCTCACCTCACAGGGGTGTTGTGAGGATAAATTCATTCATGTTTGTAAGGTACTGAGGTGGCCATATAAGTACCTACATATATACACACTAGGGCAGATCCTCAGCTGGTGTAAATTGTCATAGCTCCATTGACTTCAGTGATGGGAAGACGATTTAAGTGAAGCCAGGGCAATATACATCAGCTGCAGAGCTGTCCCATGGTGTCTTGTGACACAAAAGGGGCCCTCCTGTATTTATCCTCCAATGCACTCAAAAGGAAGAAACAACGTCTATTTGATTCTCTCTATAAAGCTCTTTGTTATAAAACTTACCCCATTGAAGGGACAGTCTGTAGGCTCACAGCCATATGAAAGTGAGCTCCATGAACCAAATTCTGTTCTTAGCTAAGTAAATGCAACCCCATCCATTTAAACCTCATTACTACTAAACGGAGTGCCACAGATGTAAATGAGGACAGAATCTAGCTCCCCTCCATATTACATGCAAGATACCTTGTTGGAAGATGTAAATCACGTGTCATTCAGTACAAGCTAAGCATTACATTATTTTTATGTACTAAAAGAGCTTCTCTTGTGGTTTATATAAATGTCTTGTACATTCTTGGAGTGGAAAAAGCTGCAAAGTGAAGTTGAGTGACTCAGGTCCCTAAGGATACATGAAGAGACACTTAATAGTATCCTACCTCTAGTAGACACAAAAATATATCATACATTATTTTAGTAATTAGGTTTTTTTAGACATAAAACTAGTACAATTGTAGGTTAATTAGATTTAACTGTTCTGTGCAGCTAAGGCACATTTATCAAAGTAAGAGATCTTGCCACTCATGGAAAAGTTGTATCATGATTTGGCCCTGTGTGCTTAAATCATTTATAATTCAATGTCAGGTTAGCACACTGACTATTCTGAGACCATTAGTTGAGACTATTAGTAGTGAATCTATTACTCCTCTAGCCCAATGATGAAGTGTAATGGAGCCAGCTAATGACGGATGTCTGATCCTCATATAAATAAATCAAGGAAAGTGAGGGGAAATTCAGTCTGCTGTGATAAGATTACAAGGTGGGGGACAGGAACAGATTCAGGAATCTCTGAGACAGAAAAAATCTTAATTAACATGTTAACCTATAGAGTTCCACAATTCACCAGTATACCCGAGGGTAGTCTTTTTCTGGGAGCTTGTGTTTCACATAGCTCAAATCTAGTGACTTTCAGTTTGAGTCCTGGACTATGAAAATCCCTAAATCTCAGAGATACTTAATTGAAATGTCTGAATTAAACTTGGTTTTGCACTGGAACCACACAACCCACACATTACCCATGATTTCTATCATAGACGACTCATGCCTCCCCATACTGGGGGGCACAATCTAAAGGGGAGGACACGTGAACACCCCCACATGTCTCCTCCCTTGACCTGCACCCAGCCCGGGGCCACTGCACTCTCCCTGCCCACATTACCTGAGGGGGGTGGGAGGCTCTGTCCTTCTCCCACTGCACCTCCCCCCGGCATGTTTGGCCACTGGGCCCAGGCACTAAACCCTGCATGCCTCCTGTACATGTTGCCTCTGATTTCAATGGCAGTTTGCTGGAAACTGAGTGCAGGGTTAGTGGATGTTTTGATGAGCCAGGTCCATGTTTAGAGGCCATAATGGGATATGAAAACAGGTGTCTCACAGTTTGGGGCTTTGTTGCAAATGTTTTCCCCATCTCTAATTTTTAGTTCCTACTATGCATATGTTGGGCATATCTATTTCTACAGGCTATTTCAAACTGTAGGATGCCAGTAGATTTTAGTGTGAACGAAGACAACATGCTCTATTCAAAAAGAATCTATTTCTGATCTCTTCTAAAATATATTGAATTCCCTTTTTTCTAATTTCTTTTTCAGCTCTTGGAGGTGCCAAATTTATCTCATTTGAAGAGCGCCAGTGGCACAGTGACTGCTTTAATTGTGTGAAATGTTCCATTTCGCTGGTGGGACAAGGATTCCTCACCCAGCAAGATGACATCCTCTGTCGCGAATGTGGTTCGGCTGCATAGTTAGAGAGAGACACGTTATTCTCGCATGCTGTAACCAAGTACTTCCTTACCCTGCAGTCGGAAATTCATTTAAAGGCCATAAGAGTTATTTAGTCATTTAAGTTGCTTTCCAACAGCAGTTCAGTTCTATCACAGTGCTCAGCTGCTACACGCATGCCTTATATCTTGTAAAAAGATTTTTACACAGTTCTGGTTAAGAAAACATTTCCAAAGAAATTTCTATATATATTTTAATGGAAATACAGTATGTTTGTCCTTGTAAAACAGTGCACTCTGCTGTTGGGAGCTTTAGAATTTTATATTATATAATCCAAGAACGACTATGAAAAATCTGTATTTGGAAGCCATAATAGATGACCTCATTGAAGAAAACTTATACCAGTTCTCTACTGATGCAGACACTCAGGTGGAAAGTGGTGGTGGTGCATTCCCCACTGGGCCACAATATTTAATCTGAACAATGTCCCCCTTCTCTCTGTACCTCAAGGCTGCTGGGCAGACAAAGGAGGCTGCCGGCAAAGCATTCATTTCGCTATGTGCAGAAGGTAGGGGGTTGTTGTACAGAAAGGAAAGACTTCTACCACTCCAGAGGGGTGCTACTTCTCTGCCTTGTAAGACGGAAAGGAGTAGGAGAAATGGATGCCCATCAGCAGAGAGAGTAAAGAGTCCACTCCATGGCCAGGAGGGTGAGGTGAGGGGACAGAAGGCCATTTCCTCCATAATTTACACCACTGAATACACTATAGGGCAATTAAAAAGCTGTATAATCTTTGCTCCAAGTTGTAAGTCAGAATTCCTTTGCACCGCTCTATGCTTAATCAATGACCCACTCACTTTTTCCAGTTTTCTGATTCTCAGTATAATGAATGTTAACTAAGCAGTTTGCAAAAATGTGGGGCTTAGCCAAGCAATTAATTGTGTGTCCAAAATTTCAGGTGCATATTCATAGATGTTTTTTGGAAAAAGTCTCTGTAAATGACATTTTCATTACTTCCACTTCATAGTCGCTCGTAGCAAAAATTTTCTGTTTCTCTATTAGGACACATTACTATTATTAGAACTACATATAAGTTGAATAACATGGGGGGAAAAGATTTCTTTACTTTTTTTCATGCATTATGATTAAGGAAAAGAGGAATTGCCAGACTGTATCAGATCAATGGGCCCATCTAATCCAGTATCCCATCTCCAACAGTGGCCAGCACCAACTACTCCAGATGAAGATGCAAGAAAATCCAGAGTGCACAATTATAGTGTATGTTGCCCATCCTGGTAGTTTCTTACTAAAACCTACCACCAGGGCATGCCCTAGACCAAATGGCACCCCAGGCAAAGTGCCCCTCCCCCTTGATTTGCAAAACTTTTGAATACCTTATTTTTTATTGCATATGTAGCCCATTTCACAACTTTGATGCACAATTTCCATGTATGATTTACCCCTGTCATATAAGATAAATTTGCATGCTAGGATCTCTAAATCTATATTTATTCATGCCATATATAAGCAAATAAAAAAAAATCATTTCCTCTAAGCTTACAGAAACTTTTTAATTTTAAGAATAATTGAAATGTAGTAACTTCAAGAAATTTAATTGTGCACCAACATTGGGTGGACCAGTATTAAATAGTGTTACAGTAGGTGACAGCCTTAGAATGTTAACCCTAGTCCTTTAGTCCAAAAGGTTGCTTCTCTTACCTTTGCCTTCCCAAACTGAAGCACAGCGCCAGAGAGCTCCAAAGACTGGCCAATGGCATTTTCAAGCAATAGAATAGCAAGCGATGTCGATCAAAGATATGTTTTAATGAGACTGAGCTTCAAAAAGCTTCACTTACCACTCACGGCTGTGACCAGCAGCGTGAGCAGAATCCTTAAAGCTATCCACCCATTAGGAAAAGTATCCTTCAGCTCTGCATCATGAATGAATTGGAGAACTTGGAGTGGAGAGTGCTTCTAGTGTTGCAAAATGTGATGGATGTTGTCCAATTCAATATAGAGGTAACTTTATCTTTGATGTCTGAACATTCCCCATGTGTCAGCATCCGGTGAAAGTTCGTAAAATTGTTCAAGTGTTTTTCTGTCCGCTAGCAGCTTACTAAGGTCACACACAAAAACCCAGGTCTTTTTGTGGTGCTTCATTTGTCCGAACCTTTCTTTGATGGACATTCGAGCAGTGTCAATGAGCAAGCAAAAAAACTCCCTCTTGAATTTTTCTTCCGAGCTTCCCATCATCTCATCTCTGCCCTCGTAATCAAACTGTCTCTTCTTCTGATAAATATGGGTTTCCTTGAAGACAGGCTCAATTCCTAAGTTTTCTGCCATTTCTTTGGCAGCAGTGATGGTATCTTCAAATCCGTTGTTTCTGTAGGCCACAACAAAATCAATGCAGCTTCTCATCAAAATAGTAACAGTTGTGATGCCCATCGACTGAGTTTGTAATGCCTTGCTTACAACGTTTACTTGGAACAGGATATCGTGCCAAACCACAATTGAGACCAGAAATTTGAAGTCAGTGATCTGATTTGCCAAGTTGGATTCTGGCCTTGGCTTTACTCGACTGAGCCAATTCCATCGGGGCATCATAAACCACAGTCACTTGGTTCCTCACTGGCCTCATGCTGTCAATGTGGCTCTCCCAGCATGTGTCATTTAGCGGCTTCACGGTCAGATTTGTAACATTGTCCACGAGGATGCTGAAAACAGGACGTATATCCTTTGCAGTACTGCGAAAAGAGATACTGAATCTAAAGAAGATGCTGCATCTGACACAAGTAGGTTGAGGGAATGGCAACCACAAGACACGAAGAAAGGTCTTGGATTCAGGATACGAATCCTTGCCTGTACACCACTGTTTCTTCCCTTCATGTTCGCACCGTTGTCATAGCCTTGGCCCAGCAGTCCTGAAGCTTTATTTTATTCTCATCCAAAACATTCATAACCAGTTCTGTTAGGCCTTCTCCAGTAGAGTCATCTACAGACCAGAAACAGATAAAGTGTTCCTTTACTTGGATACAGCCATCCTCGTCGTCAACAAATCTTACTGTAAATGATATCTTTTCTCTGTGACTAATGTTGGGAGTGCAGTCCATTATGACAGCATAGTGCTTTGCTTTGCTTTGCTGAACCAACAGACAGTATTAGGGAGAGCAAAAGTCTATGTTCCACAGTCTTAGAAAGTCGTCAAACATTACATGTTAAGTATGGCAAAAGAAGTAATATTTCTTTTATATTGTTGTGCAGATAGGAGTTCGATAGATATCTCTGGCATCTCATTACATATGTCCTTTATTAGTTGCTACTTACACTCTTCAAGTCTTAAAACAATTTCACAATTACACAATAACACAAGGGTCACAATATCACAGCTAGACCCTCACTTCACTTCACTTTTTTTTCTTATATCTCACTGACTGACTGGCAATACCCCACCCTTTATATACTCCCAAGGGCATGGCTGACAACATTCTAGGAGGTTCAAGGAAAATGTAGTTATCAGAAAGTCCGTAAGGTTCCATGAGATTCTATAAAGGTCCAGAAGAGTCTAGAACAGGGGTCGGCAACCTCTGGCACGCAGCTCGCCAGGGTAAGCACCCTGGCGGGCCGGGTCAGTTTGTTTACCTGCCGCGTCCGCAGGTTCGGCCGATCATGGCTCCCACTGGCACATCCCTCGGCCCACGTCGCTTCCCGCAACCCCCATTGGCCTGGAGTGGCGAACCGCAGTCGCCTGGGTTGCCTGCCCCTAAATCTGGCCCTGCCTACCACTGAGTAGTTGGTTTATGCTCTGAAGCATCAATGCTTATATCCCTTCTTAAACAAACATCTGTTCCAAGACTAGTGATTTGCAGAGCTGAACTACAGCCCCTTTACCAAAATTAGCTAGTTTTAGTTAAACTTTTTTTTTTTTTTTTTTTTTTTTTTTTTTTTTTTTTTATATATAAATAAAACTACATTAATTTGCCATCGGAATCAATGAGCTCCCCCAATCAGAGCGCTAATGTATAGTTTCCAAATGCTAACATGTCTTAAAACTGCAACTGCCTTTTTAATGCCATCAGACCCTGGTCATCGGTGGACAGGATCAAACCTGGGGCTTCTGGAGCTTATTGCATGAGCCTCTATCACATGAGCTAAAAGCCACATGGCCTTTAGCTAAGGCTGTAGAGCTGCCTCATTTTATCTCTCTCTTTAAGTGGTCTTGGTGCCACTAGATGGGACAGAACACCACACTCAGTACGTGTGTTGGTTTCACCTTGTCTACACTAGGATTTTAGTACATACTAAACATACACCTCTTTTCCTAGTGTAAACATAGCTTGAGAGTCACCTTCCTGTCTGCCAAGCCACCTCTCTCTTCTCCTGAAAACCCATTTTCCAGAAATCCATCCATCTTTCTCATCATGAATAATTTCTCCTTGCTCTCACTTTGAACTGTGATCTAATATCTTATGTGTTTGCCTTGTCTATATTAAGACTGTCAATGCTTTAGAACAAGGAGCATGACGTACTCATTTTGTTAAGAGCTATGTACATTTACCAGCATTATAGCAATGGTTTTTAATAATATTATTTTCATTACAATCGATAGGCCAACAGAACAATGTAGTTTTGTTCCTATATCTCATTTATGTCACTTTGAGAGGATTTAATCTGCTTGCTGAGCTTTTAAAGTAAAAGTGTCTATATTAAAGGCCAAGTAGATTAGTGTTACAAATGTTACTTCCCTTTGTTCCACGCTCTCATGTCATTAAACTATCATTATACTGAGCCATTGAGAATGGTGCAATGAAATACTCGAGGGCAGGTTTTGTACCATTTACCACACTCTTGATGTGTTTTAAAGCACATCTTACTCACATTAACTTCAGGAGCATGTGTCCTTTTAGGAGCTGATCCAAAGTCTATTGCCGTTAATAGGAGTCTTTTCTTTGACCTCAGTTGCATTAAGATCATTCCCTTATTTAATTGAAAGTGATAATTACATTAAGAAGACAAAAAGAAAAGTACACTATATGAAAATAGGCCAGTGCCAAATTGCAATAGTATAAAATCTATGTGTATAATAACTAACTACAAGTATACAACTCTCTGTTTTCTAGTCAATAAAATATTGATTTTTTGCTTAATGTGGTGTTGGTTTAGATTTTTAGTGTCTTCTGCTAGGAGAGCTTTTATCAGAGTTCATTTTCTGATTTGCTTCTGGCTTTCTGTTTTACTCCAGCTGCTTGCCTTTCCTTTCCTTTCTTATACATCAGATACAGAATCTTGATAAGAGTCAGGATACCATAAATAGAAGTAGGTTGTGTAGCCTAAAAAAAGAATATAGCAATGGACATGTATCGGTGATATTCTAAAAATGTTCAATGACTGATTAGAAATTAGCCCACTGGTA